GGTGAAACTACTGTGAAACCTTGCCCCACCCTATCATGTGACCTACTGACTCACATCTGAGGTAAGCTGTGAGTGAGATTTGAAAAACCTGGGAAGGGTTCTCAAAACTCTATTGTAGGCAGGTTGGCTTTTGGCTTTTGGCTCAGCTAAACACGTTTTTTAGGGTTTTCCACTAGCTGGTAATAACGGGCACCACTTCTTTAGTACCTACTCAGCTGGGCTTCCGAGCAGTCTGAGGCGATCCGAAAATGTGACATTAACAGACCGCACGCCACCGATTGGCTAGTCAGTGGCATCACTCGATGAGTCACGAGAGTGACATGTATTTTTGTGTCAGATACAGAAGATGTCACAGGACGTTGCTATAACAACCTCATGCACATAAGTTGGTAATCGATTGTAATGGAAAATGACTGAAACCAAGTAGAGTCAAGTCAAGCTGAGTAGGCGCTACAGGAAAAGGAAGAGAAAGCATTTCTGTTCATAGATGTTTTTCATTTACTCCTCTTTCAAGCCATCTGTCTTTTCAGTCCAGAATGTGAACATTGGCATCGTTGAAAGAGAGTTTGGGAGTTTTGGATGAGAATGAAACGTCTTCACAAGCTTAAAGACGTCCGGACGCCTTCTGTTTTCCCCCTCAAGTCCCTAAGACTAGCATCACCTGAATGACCTATACAGACAACTCTGTAAGAACACAACAGTCCTCATCATAAATGAGAAGACATTTCACAGTGTGTATATTATGTGGACATACACATATTGAACTCATTGTTAATAGCAACAACTATTCAACTTTTTAAACATAAAACCAGTGTAAATGCATGCATGTCTGTGATGATGTAGTACAGTGGAGCAGCTGTCATTCTTTGGCTCTTGGCTGATCAATTTAAGGACTTGGATCAAGATTATTGTTTCTGTGACAGCTTCTCCTCCAGCCGTGGGTCTCATCTCCCTGCCTACCATGTTGTCTCCTCCTCACCCCTCCATCTGGAAGCTAACATGGTTCTTGGGATAAAAGCCAGTAAGGCTGAATGGGGGGCACTAGTAACAGGGTTTTGATTTCCAATGAGACAGCTTCAATAAAAATGTATGTGATGTGCACAGGAATACAAAGAATATGTGCCATGTATGTCTGCCTAAAACTAAATATTGAAAATAAAGAGAAACATTACTACCCTTCAGAATGTGTTAAACAGATAATACATCTCTAAGCATCATCATCTGGATAATAATTTTATCAGTTCTTATCTATTCTTACCAAAATGTAAAGAAAGCAAGGTCAAGAATTTCCAAAGCCCTTGAAAGTAGCTCCTTGTTTTTTAATTTAGCATCCTGGCATATGATGCGTTCGCCAAACCTTGAGAAAGAAGCTACTCGGCACTTTTTCCAAGTACAAAATGACCTTATTAACATTTAGTTATGACTAAATGTGTCTGCGTGTTTGTATTTGTTAAACAACCCTCTTGTTTCTCGCTATTGTAGCAATCAGAGCAGAACAAAGATGGGCCTGTGCTGATATTATCAAACACATTTTGCCTTGGAATGAAGCGACACACTGAGATGGGAAGGAGGTTAGCTATGGGAAGCATGCTCCGAGCCCACACAGCAGCTTGCTACGATTTCCTTTTGCGTCTTATCATCTGATGTCACTTTCTGTTTGAACACAGGGGAGCTGCTGTTCTGCCAATGTTACAGTAACAGGCAGCGTGAGCAGTTAAAACAAAGATTCCCTTTCTGGTTATCGCGTCATGACATCCCCCCACTGACCTGCGCTTCTCGCTGATTTTGTTGGATGTGCTGCTCAGGCTGTGTGAGTGGGGCACCCCCTTCTGTGTCGCAGGCACTGTCTTCAGGGTCAGTTTGTTGCTCCCCGTCTCCATCACAGCCCTGGTCTGCAGGCTCACTGGGACTCTCCCTAACACATCACAATGCAAAGATTAATAAAGCAATGAAAGTACCCTTATTTAAATATAAATTCATAACTTGTATCCAGGGGAATGCTATGCAAAGTAGCGTAATGCTAAAGTAACCTACAGTACAACTGCTCTAAACGTGTTTATCTGTAACGCGAACCAGCTTTGTGCCTTTGTGCATGAGATTTGCTATCTTGGAAATGCTTCTTTAGAGTCATCTGATGCCACTTTAAAACACTGAGCAATCATGTTTGTACCAACAGGTGCAACTACAAAGTGCAACAGACATTTAATTCATGCGTGCATAGAAACTTTGTGGTTTCAGGTCTGCCTGTGTTGCACTCTCACCCCTGGCTGTCGTAGCTGCCGAGGTCTTGGTCGATGGAGTTTTTCAGATCAAAGAAGTGCTGCTCCACTGCAGCCCTGATGGTCCGCTGAATAATACTGGGAAACAAAGCAGAAATACAAGTTAACACTAACCACTGTCCAAAGAGTTCAGACTACCTTTAAAGAGGATAAGCCGAGTTTCAAAGGTTTACATAACTAATTTGCATGAGATCCAGTGACCACGTTTGTTTCCTGTTTATTCAGTGCAACAACTCCACAGAAAAACAAAAATAGATAACCTGAAAATAACATTATCCACCTGAAGTATCCACATAAAACGAGCCACAGCAATAATCCAAACACCCAAGATGCTGGGCATGTTTCTCTGACTTAGTAGAGAAAAAGTCTGTGACGTCAAGAACGGTTTTGATAACCAAAACAAAAATACTTCAGCCATGTTGCAAATAGTCAAAGCTGTAGACCGATAAGTTCCATCTGTCGTCCACCTGCCAGAATCATGCGCACTACTTAGGCTTGTATTTATTTCTGAACTGCAGCAGGACACGATGTATCAAAAACCTAAAAAGATAAAAACTGATTTGCAGATGTAACAACTACCCAACACTACAGCACTACCATTACTATTCTTTTAATCCTTCAGTTAAACATGTTTTTTTTTTTAAGTGATTAGTATACATGCTTTAAAAACGCTCACATAATGCCTAAAACTGTTGCCATCAACATCCTTAGTTCAGTTATACTGACGAGGTTAGAGGGCTGTTTTTCCAGATTTAATTAAGATGTCTGGAACCTCTGCTGATCAATTAACAGATAAATGGCATTTATAGTTCATCTTTGCTGAAAAACAAGAAAATATATA